TTCTAGTCCCGCCTTAAGCATGGAAACCAACTGGTTGACTTTGGACCAATCGCTAGATGACTGTGAGTTCTAGTCTTGCTCTAGACATGAAAACCAGCCCAGTGACTTTGGACCAATCACCAGGATATATGGGGAGTTCTAGTCCCACCTTAGGCACGAAAGCCAGCCAGGGGACTTTGGGTCAATCCCTCTCTCAGCCCAATCCACCTCACAGGGTTGTTATGGGGGGAAAACAGGAGGGGGCAGGGGAAGGAAGGCAAAGTACCTTCACCCTTTGAGTTGACCCAAATGCCTTCAAAAGCAGAATAACATAACACAACAGGACCATCCGCAACGTCTGTATGTCACTGCTAAAGTAACCCCAGGGACCTTGAGCCAAAGGAGATTTTCCCCCCGCTTCTACCTTTTTTAACCAAGGGTGACTAATGGAGGCCCTCCAGGCTTGGCCCATCACGAAAGGCCCTGCTTAACAAATAACCTTCCCGTTCTCGGTCGCTTCTCTGCAGGGTGCCGAATATCAGCTTTTGTTTGGCCTCTGGAAGAAGAGCACGGAGACAGCTTTGCTCCATTTAAAAAACAAACACAGTTAGGCAAATATATATATATATATATATATATATATACACACATACACATACACACACACATATATACATACATACACATACATACACACAGACACACATATCATTTTTTTGAAATTAAAAAAGAAATTTTAAAGCAAGACCCTCCGGAATAATCTCCTTTTTGGGGCAGGGGGAGGTGGCATCAAGACGGCCTAAGTGCTTAAGGGTAGCTGTGTGGCTTACTTTCTGCCGTTTACTTTGGAGATCTCCGCTAGTATGGGAGGGGGAGCCATCTCGAGAGCCCCCTCCCCAGGAGAATGCTTCTCCAACAAACAAACAAAAATAGTAATCATAATTCACCGGCCTGAATCCCGCAAACGCCCTGCCTTTCCCCTTCCTAAAAGCCGCTGCTGGCTTGTCGTTTTTAAGGTGACAGAAGGCGAGCGTTTTTAAATAGATGGAGATAATCAGGTTGACTGGATGTAATTTAATGTTAATTAAAATGTAAACTCAGCGAAATCAGATTTAACCTCCAGTCAGCTGCTTGGAAATCTAGGGAATAGCACTGAGCTTGCAAAACCCTCAGCTGTCCATCCACGATAGCAACCCGTTGGTCAATTTATTATTATTATTATTTTATTATTTATTTGATTTGTCAATCGCTTAAAAGATAATAGATATAAGTATAAACATGAGTAAGAATACAGGAAATAGGTATGAATAAAGGGGGGCAATAGGACAGGGACGGGAGGCACGATGGTGCACTTATGCACGCCCCTCACAGACCTCTTAGGAATGAGGTGAGGTCAATGGTGGATAGTTTGAGGTTAGCCTTTTCTCTCCGTTTTCCCTCCAAAATGGGTGTCATGTTATTGGCTGGGTGTGACCAACTCAATATCACTCACATCGAGGCACACATCTCCTCTCCTGGCCTCTCATGACTGCGGGGATGCTGCAACAGTCATAAGTGTGAAAAAGGGTCATAAGTCACTCTTTTCAGTGCCATTGTAACTTTGAATGGTCACTCCACACAAGCAAAGTACCACCAAAGGACGGGAAAAAAACTCCAGAGAAGTTCCTGAGACAGGAAGTCTAGTCCTGCCAAGAATGTAATAAGGGTTAACGGAGAGGCAGTTTCTGTAAGCAACACCAGAATGTTTCCTTCCTGCCTTCCTTACAGGATTAGGCCAGTAATTTCTTCTAACAACCAGTTCTCTGAACTGCTTAGAATGTTAACAACCGGTTCTAGCGAATAGGTGCGAACTGGTAGAATCCCACCTCTGAGTAGAGTGCTATGCGGCGACTGCTGAAGCAACAAAGACCTCTGTGCCTGCGCAAAGTGCATGTTTGGTGTGTGCGTGCACACAAAGTGTGTGCATGTGCGAGAAGGCATGCCCACCAAGCCATGCCCACCGAACTGGTGGTAAAAATCTTTGAACCCGATTATTGGGTTGTAAGCCTGAAAAATGGCCATAAGCCACATTTTTGTTGTTATAACTTTGAACAGCCATTAACTGAACTGTCGTACATCGACAACTACCTGTAAATATCCATCTTTCTCTTGTTCTTTTGTTACAGAGACTCTGCCTGGATCGACCTGCCTGTTTACACCTCAACCTTTCCCCTAGTAGCCAAGTGAGACCCTCGAAGGCATCCAGAGTTACAACCGGCCAACCCAGGGATGAGCGCAGGCAGAATCAACCCTTACAGCATAGTCTCTTCCGAGGAAGACGGGTTGATTTTGACCACCATGCCTGGAGTGAATGGCTTTGGCAACGGTAAGATCCACACGCGGAGGAAATGCCGTAACCGGTTTGTGAAGAAGAACGGCCAGTGCAATGTCGAGTTTACCAACATGGACGACAAACCTCAGAGATACATAGCCGACATGTTCACCACCTGTGTGGACATCCGTTGGAGGTACATGCTGTTGCTCTTCTCCCTCGCCTTCCTGGTCTCCTGGTTATTGTTTGGCCTCATCTTCTGGCTGATTGCCCTGGTCCACGGGGACATCGAGAAGCCCACCAAAGACGAAAGCTTCACCCCTTGCCTCCTCCAGGTGAATGGCTTCGTGGCTGCCTTCCTCTTCTCCATTGAGACTCAAACGACCATCGGTTATGGCTTCCGCTGCGTGACCGAGGAGTGTCCCCTGGCTGTCTTCATGGTGGTCCTCCAGTCCATTCTAGGCTGCATCATTGACTCCTTCATGATCGGCGCCATCATGGCGAAAATGGCCAGGCCGAAGAAGAGAGCAGAAACATTGCTCTTCAGCCACCACGCCGTGGTGGCCATGAGGGATGGCAAGCTTTGCTTGATGTGGAGAGTGGGCAACCTACGGAAGAGTCACATCGTTGAGGCGCACGTCCGAGCGCAGCTCCTCAAGCCCAGGATCACCGAGGAAGGAGAGTACATCCCTCTGGACCAGATAGACATCGACGTCGGGTTCGACAAAGGCTTGGACCGTATTTTTCTAGTCTCACCCTTGACCATCCTTCACGAGATCAACGAGGAGAGCCCCTTGTTTGGGATTAGCCGGCAGGATTTGGAAACGGACGATTTTGAGATTGTGGTGATTCTGGAGGGCATGGTGGAGGCCACGGCTATGACCACCCAAGCTCGGAGTTCGTATCTGTCCAGCGAGATCCTCTGGGGTCACCGCTTCGAGCCTGTCCTCTTTGAGGAGAAAAACCAGTACAAGGTGGACTATTCGCACTTCCACAAGACTTACGAGGTCCCTTCCACTCCCTGTTGCAGTGCCAAGGATTTGGTGGAGAACAAATTCCTGCTTCCGAGCACCAACTCCTTCTGCTACGAGAACGAACTTGCCTTTATGAGCCGCGATGAGGAGGAGGAGGAAGAAGAAGATGAAGACAGCAGAGGTTTGGACAATCCGTGCTCAGAGGACCTGCCAACGACTGTAGGGCCTCTGGATCAAAGGTCCTACCGGAGAGAATCAGAAATATGACTCAGGGGCTTCCTAAACTTTGATCTCTCCTTTCTCCCCTCTCGCTAACCTTCTCCCCCCCCCAAAAAAAATGTATGCAGAACAATGCAAAAGTGCCATAGGGATGCCTGAGAGTTTGTGTTGGTTTGTCGGGTTTCACAGTCTTTAAGACAATAATTAAGTGCAATAATTGCTGAATGGCAGCAGGCTTCAGAACATGGTGGCCCTCCAAGGTGGAAACGTCCTGCAGGGCAGGCCCCAAGGGGTGGCCTCGCCGTGGGTTTCGCAGCTAAGACAGAGGCACACACTCACACGCATTTCTGAGTTTTATGCTTTGTGCAAGAATGGCGATGCACGCTGAGAGGGAGTCGGTCTCTCCTATCCCTTTGTGAAAAATTAGTGTTTCTTTTTTTTTTTTAAAGGCTAGTATTATCTTGGAATAGGGAGGCGGTGGCTCAGTGGCTAAGACACGGAGCTTGTCGTTCAGAAAGGTCGTCAGTTCAGCAGTTCGAATCCCTAGCGTTGCATCATGGAGTGAGCTCCCATTCCTTGTCCCAGCTTCTGCCAACCTAGCAGTTCAAAAACAGGTAAAAAATGCAAGTAGGGACCCGTTTGGTGGGAAGGGAACAGCGTTCCTCCGTGCGCCTTCGGCGTTTAGTCCTGCCGGCCACATGACCACGGAGACGTCTTCGGACAGTGCTGGCTCTTCGGCTTTGAAACGGAGATGAGCACTGGCGCCCCCTAGAGCTGGAAAGGGCAAGCACGGATGTGTGAGGGGAACTTTTACCTTTATTATGTTAGAGTGGTTCAAAAGAAGAGAACATCAGGAAATCAGGCCAGATGTGTTTGTCTCAAATATACATACTGCCAAGAGAGAGAGATGGACCTCTCTTTCATGCTTTTACTATGCTGTTATACGAATGGTAAGAGAGCTTCAAAGAGCAACTGGGTGAGAAAGGATCAAAGAGGTGGAACTCCAGGGTTGGTTCTACCATCAAGGGGAATGAGGAAGCCCAACTGGGCAATTGCACAAGATGTCTTCTATAGGAAGACTGATGAATCACACAGAGAAACCTTGGGTGGTCAGATAACTTGGCTTCCTTTTGCAAATAAACCTGGTTTCCTCCTATGTGTTTCTGGTGGGCTCGTTCAACAAGTCCTAGTAGAAGCTTCCTCCAGTCGCGTGTTCAATGCCTGGTGAACATAGGGATGCTTCCATAGGAGTCTTCTTGGCAGTTATATAGAAGTGATTTGGCCTGGACTCCTACTGGGGAGTTTTTAAAAAGGTTTCTAGCCTTTAGTCCTCTTGTTTTGACCAGATTTGGTTCTTCTGTACGTTCTGATCTGATTTGGGCTTGCTTAGCTCTTAAGTGTCCATTTCAGTTGCCAGTTCCATCTCCAAGTGCTTTGAGCTCCTGGAGATACACCCACAGATTGCAGCCCTGCAGTGGGGGGTAGGGGTGGAAAATTCTGCCTCAAGAGAACCATCGTACCATCCGTTGATGATGGCCCTCGCCCATCGCATCATCCTTCCTCAAAGACGGATGTTCTGGTTTTAAAAACAGCAGATGCCCAAGAGAAACGAACTCCGCTGTTTTTCCCCCAAGCAAAAGACTTTCGTTAGTCAATAAAGGGGGATATTTGTAGCTCAGGGTTGATGCTGAGCTTGCTCGTTTCCTGGCAGATGTTTCATGACCCCACACGAGGTAAAGTCATCGGTGCTAGGAGGGAGTTGGGTTTGTGGAGAGGAGGAGGAGGAGGAGGAGGAGGAGGAGGAGGAGGAGGAGGAGGAGGAGGAGGAGGAGGAGGAGGGGTGTGATCCTTGGCACTTGCTTGGAGAAGTTTCATGACCCAAACTAGGCAACATTCCAGCACTGATGATGTTATCTAGTTTGGGCATTGAAACGTCTGCAAGGCAACAATGAAGTTCAGAGAGCACCAAGGGCTTCGCAGTTGTTCCTCCTCCTCCTCTTCCTCCCTACAAACCCTACTCTTTACTAGCACTGATGAAGTTACCTTGTTTGGGTCATGAAACGTTGCAAGAAAACAGCCAAGCTCAGAGAGACTAAGAGCCCCATAATTCTTCTCCACCGCCTCCTCTTCCTCCTCCTCCTCCTCCTCCTCCCTAAAAACCGCACTCCTTACTAGCACTGATGACGTTATCTAGTTTGGGTATTGAAACATCTTCAAGACAACAGCCAAGCTCAGAAAACAGCCAGGGCCCCACAGTCTTTCATTAAACCGGACCATGCTTAATCATTTGTAAGGACCGTGCGAACTTTGCCCCCAAACCACACATCTCCACCTTCCCTCCTGACCTTACACGCCCCTCTCTCTGTTGGTGCCTTCTTCTTCACCCCGGCTATTTCCAAGCACGGCTCCATCCTTGTTCCCCACCCACTCGCACCCCCGGCTGCCTTAATCGGAGTCATGTGTCCATCCATCTGGATGCAGGCATAGATGGGCCAAAAAAACAGAGCAGTCGATCACGTCAGCAATAAATGTGAAAGATGTTGCATCGGCTATCCGGTCCCCAAGGAAAACCCCACCACCGTTAGCTGTTACTGTAAAAGCCCAGAGATTTTTTTTAAAAAATCATCCTCATCCTCATCCTCACCATAAGTATCGCAGCAGCTGAATTTGCCCTCCTAACAAACTGCTAGGAGCTGAAGGACACGCCGTGTTCGGCGACAGCTTGAAAAGAAAGCGAGCCTTGGAACGAGCCATCTAAAATTAGCAGGCTTTATTTCTGAAGTGTAAGGGAGCCAAGTGAGGTTGCCAACTGACCAGACAGCAGGTGTGCTTCTGCCGTCTGGGTTTTCTGGGGCTTTAAGGGCAACCCGCTCTGCAAAAACCTCAAAAATTGGGGGAGAAGTGCACAGCACGTAGAATAGAATAGAAATTAAAGAATAGAATAGGAATAGGAATAGAATAGAATTCTTTATTGGCCAAGTGTGATTGGACACACAAGGAATTTGTCTTGGTGCAAATGTTCTCAGTGTATATAAAAAGAAAAAATACATTCATCAGGAGTCAAGAATCATAAGATCACTTAATGATAGTCATAGGGAACAATAAGCAATCAAATCAAACTAGGAAACAGTCAATATAAATCGTAAGGATACAAGCGACAAAGTTACAGTCATACAAGTCACAAGCGGGAGGGGATGGGTGATAAGGAGTGATGAGAAGATTAATAGTAATAGTAATGCAGACTTAGTAAATAGTTGGACAGTGTTGAGGGATCTATCTCCATCCATCTCTATCTCTATCATCGGTCTGTCTATCTATCATCTATCTCCATCCATTTCTGTCTGTCTGTCTATCTATCATCTATCTATCTATCTATCTATCTATCTCCAACTTTCATGTCTGAGTTCAATCTTGGAATGAGGTTAAACGGTGGTTTAACAACCTTTTCCCGTGATTGATTACGGAGAGGTCACCACCATTCAACTCACTTCTATAGCCTGTCTCTATTCAGTCCAGTTTGGGGTCAACACCCATCCAACAGCGCTCAACCTATCACTGAACCAAGGAAGGTCCAGAACTGTAGGCTAGACAGGGAAATTGAAAACAACAACAACAACATCCAGTCCAAAAGGAATGATCAACCACTTCCATGGTGTTGCCAAGAAGAGAGTGTAGAAGGATCCTTCTCATCACCAGAAGTCAGGCGTAGGTCTCTGAAGATTTCATTTTTCCTCCTTTTCTCTCTCTTGAAACTTACCCATCTGCTGTTTCTACAACCTAACCTGCTGCTTAAATTGCCTTTTTCAACCTATTTGCTACGATGGTGAGCCAAAACATCTGAAGGTCTCTGGAATTTAAAAGAAACAAACAGGAGTTAATTTAGAAATGCACGTAGAAGTATCCCAAAATCAACCCGTTCCCACCCCAATGCTTCATAGATGCCTTTATATTCAGGTTCCCGCCAACCTCTCTTGACCCGATGAGCTGCTTTGGAAGGGCAGAGTTAGAATTCTTGCTGGTTTTCTTCCAAGACATCGGTTGTGTGTTTTGCCATTGTTTTTTCTAAATAAATTCTTATTGCTAATTGAGGAGGGTGGATGGACGGGTGACATTCTAAACATGAATTTCTTAAATGTACAGCACCGTAAATATTTGTAAAAGAGGAAAAGAGTCAAATACTTGCTTTTTAAATTATGTTATATAATTGTACAGTCTGGTCCCAGAGACTAAAATATTCTACATATATATATATATATGTATCTATGTATTTTTTTAAACTGTTGCATAGAGCCACTTGGAAAAAAATATTGTAGGTATGCAATGCAAACTTAGCAAATAACTCTTTTCCTTCTTCCTCCCCCTCCTCCTCCTCCTCTCCATAATCCTAAAACCCACTCCCTTCTAGCACTGATGACATTACATAGCTGGGTCATGAAATATCTGCAAGAAAACAACCAAGGGCACCAAGGATCCCACAGTCCTTCTCCTCCTCCTCCTCCTCCTCTTCCTCTTCCTCCTCCTTAGTTCTGCTTCTTAATCTTCTCTCTGGTTCATAACACACTATGGAGAATAATGTTATATAAAATGTATATCTCTAGAAACAAAGTGTTGTTATATAATGTATAATAATTATATGTGTATATATTTATATATAGATATATAGATAGATATATATATTTTCGCCTATCCCTGAGTGTTTTACTGGATCATTATTTTTTTTGCAAGGTGATTGGCAAGCCAGCTAGGAATAACCTGGCTTGCTTTATTACAAGTCATGGGCAAAAGCTGAAGTTGAGTCCTGTTTCTATTTTCCGTACTCTTCTATATATAATAGCCCAATATTCTAAAACCAAAGAAATGGATCTTCCCAGATAAGGGCTAGGAAAAGACGAACAGCAACCCTAAGGTTGGGCAGGAAGTCAATAAACCACGATCCATATGTGAATGGTGTCCTCCCCATTTTGGCCAACTTTTTCAAACTGAGATTGACCCTTCTACAAAAAAATAAAAGCATTTTTCTTTGATGTGTTTCAAAATTGTTGACAGGGCTGTGGAAACCCTTTCTTTGAAGGTTATTTCTCTTTGAAGAGTTAGCTGAGGACAATC